TAAACTTCTGTTTTGTATTATTCATAGTTATGGGGTATTGCTTTGGGAACTGCTAACTGGGGAAGTACCATTTCGAGGAATTGATGGCCTGGCAGTAGCATACGGTGTTGCTATGAATAAACTTTCCCTTCCTATTCCTTCAACGTGCCCAGAACCTTTCACCAGACTGATGGAAGGTAAGAATGTGTGGGATAGGTTGGATCTGACAAAATCCTTTTTGACACAAAGATAGTTCTGAATATCTGCTGATTTTAATAGTCAAGACTGTAAACCACTTGTGCAGGTTCTTGAGAAGCCAGCTAGTATGTCAGTTACTTTGCCTCTTTCTAGAAGAAAGTCATGCTTCTGTCTTACATATCTGGCTATAATATGTATACTGTGTAAATGAGAGCCGTGGGTGGGAAGGAACAGCACCTGTTAAAAACTGGCAGAAACCCCCTTGAATTATATTTAATCCATCAGAAGAAATGTTTCAGAATATACCATACTTGAAACAATCAGATTCATGAGGCTTTGGATGCCTGTATTTGTTCTGAATTTGGCAGAAGTATATCTTTACCCACTAAAAAACAGAGAATTCAGCTAAAGTAGGATTAAGGGTATAATTTTATGGACAAATATATTGGATTAATATGCTTTGAACTAAGTAGAATTTAGGATAATAATTAATACAAGGAAAAGACAAACATAACACTGTCATAACTGCATTTGCTACAATATAATCACTTCCATTATATGATTAGCATTGTCTGTGCACAAGATTGGCAAATTAGGAAAGCTTCAGATTTGGAGAAATATATATTAAAAATGTTTTAAGTAGCTTTCTCAGAAACAAATCTGCAAAGGTTGAACATAGAAGTTTAACTGCAGGTATATTATGGAGAAGAATATTGCATTTGGAATCTTAAACAGAAATTATTCATGCTGCAATATTCTGTTGCAGGTCTCATTTCTTATTCATTACATAATGAGATCCATAAAGCATATCTTGCTGTATTTTAAAAACTTTGGGGAAATACTCAAAATACTCAGTATTGATGTCTTGACATGAAGATATATTGATGACTTAGTAATGTACATTTTAAGTCCCTGTAACCAAGTGGTTTGAGATTAGAGGTAGCATGACTTTTTAAAAGTTCAGTTAGTCTATTTAACTTTTCTTTATAAGTGAGGAATTGTTTAGTAGCAATTTACATATTTCTTTCTGTAATACATATAGGTAAAGATAAAAATTAATTATCTTTTTTAAAAAAATGCTTCTGTTTTAATTATATTCCTTACTCAGGTGGGCTGCACTCAACTGACAATGTTAAACATGACCTTTCTCCTTTATCACATATTTTAGCCTTAATAATAAGTGCAAAGAAATTATTTTCTTCCTGTATTCAACAAAAATAATGGTCTAAATGGTTCCTGTAACTATTTATATCTTGATACTCAAACTGGGTCCCAGATATTTTAAACGTTTGAATATAAAAACAAAATTATATTGGGGGGAAAAAACCCTAAAAGGTAGTGGTTTTGTCTATGGATCTTCAAGTTTAATGCATTTGTTCTATTGATTTAGAATGGTTCTGTTCTGAATTACAGAAGCTTGACTAAATAACAATTATGCTAACGAATATGTTATACTCACTTATTTTGAAACAAGCATGTTGAGCGAAGAGAATCTTGTAATAATCCAGTCCTTCTTTCCTTCCTCTTAACTTCTCTCTTAGCACTGCCAGGAGGAAATCAGTAGCTGAAACAATATATAAATAAGCTAAAGAATTTTTGTTTGGTAACTCAATAATTACACCACCTAAAAAGTTTTTGCTTTAACAGCTTCTCATGGTCAAACTTTTTTGGTTTACTGAGGTTCCTTCCCTATATAGTAAGTTTATTATCTGAAGTTATACACAAAATCTTATGAAAATTATGCTGTATTTATTGAAGTTTTTACATTTAATAATATTTATATACTACTTTCCTATTAAAAATATCCAAAAAAGGCTTCTAGCAACACAAAATAATTGTAAATCACAACAATTTAATAACAACAAAACAGAAGACAGTAACATTTTATCAAATGTAAAATACAACAGATAAAAATGTGAGTATTTAGTAGCTGAATAAAATTGTGATTTACTAAGCATCTTTCTATTTGAAATAGTAATGGGCAAATAATATTAAGTGCTGCTGTTATGTTTTGTATAACTGACTTCCTCTTTTATATAGCTCAGTATTCTGTTAGTTCCACTCATTTCATTGCCAGGCTATTTGGATTTTTAGAATTCTAATTCTAAAGATAAAATAAAAGTAAGTATAATCCAGGAATGCAAATTACTGCTGATAATTATATTGTCAAGACTCTTCCTATTTTGTACCCAAGTAATCCACATTTTAATCTGTTTTTGCTTATTATATAGCCTGGCAAAGTGGAAATGAAAGAACCTATTTGTTTTATTATATAGGTTTGTTCAATTTACAAAATTTATTTTGACTTTTGTTAGATAATTTAAAATATGCATTGAATTGTCTGAAGTCATATATAGAAAGAGAGAGACATTGAATGAATAGTAACATATAGGTTCATAGATCTTTTTAAACATTCTAAAAATATTGATTTACATTTATAAAATTACTTTTTAGTATTACAGATGATGAGGCAAACTATAGTGACTTTTCCAAATATGGTTACTTGGAGCTGTTCTATAAACTGGATTTATAAACTTGCATATACATTAGTTTAACCTCTAAAAAATTGTCGAAGAAGGGTCAGAATAAATATGAACAATCCAGAAATAGGATTGGGGATGTTGGTTATTGTTGTTAACACTAACCTGCTAATGTCTAAAAATTAGATAATTTGGGATTCCATGGTGCAGTGGCACACATCTAGGGGAAAATATCTAATATTCCATGGTGCAGTGGCACACATCTAGGGGAAAATATCTAATATTCCATGGTGCAGTGGCACACATCTAGGGGAAAATATCTAATATTCCATGGTGCAGTGGCACACATCTAGGGGAAAATATCTAATCCCCTGCATCAACATATATTCTAAACAAAAGGGGACATTTGAGTATGTAATGGGAACTGAGTTGATTGAATAGGATGTTAGTAATTAAAAGCATAGTTCATTAGCAAAGCCTGGCAAATACTATACTGTTGTGGCTTCTGAATTAGCATGATTGTTGGTCTTTATCCTGTTTAGATTGTTGGAATACTGATCCTCATTCAAGGCCGTCTTTTGCCAATATTTTGAATAAACTAACTAACATAGAGGAATCTGGTTTCTTTGAAATGCCAAAAGAATCCTTTCATTCCCTGCAAGAAGATTGGAAAATTGAGATCCAGGAGATGTTTGACCAACTCAGAGCCAAAGAAAAGGTAAATAGGCTGGAAATATACTTTTACTTGATAGACAATTAGCCACTTCTGCCTCAGAATCCATTGCAAGTAAAGTAAATTTCTCTACAACACACACAGGGTTATACTTCTTAAATCTGAATTCTTTTGTACTTTCAATGAGACAAAAACTTAACACTGAATAATTAAGAAAATGAAATGCATATTTGTTCCTTAATAAAGTTGTTTTAGATAAATATGTTCTAGCTAAAACTGGAAAATACAGCAAGGCAGTCAGCCAGTATCCATACTTTTAGGACTATTCAGGGATTATTAAATTATGAAAGATAATTCTAGATAAGGGCATTGTCAGATATGATAAAACACATAGCCCTAAATATATAAGCTATGTGAAAAGACTGGTTCTGTATGAAGGCAGAGATAGTTTGACAGCAGCTAGATCTACTATGGCAGGTAAATTGAAGCATCCTATTTCCCTATGATTAGGAAGCTGTCCTGCACTCAGTCTGACCATTGGTTCATCTGTCTTTGTATTATCTACCTTGTCTCCAAAATTCCAGACCAGGATTCTCTCTAGTTTTATCTGAAGATGCTTGGGATTAAACCTAGGACCTTGCATCATTATAGTCTGTTTCATATTACTGATTCTTTGCATGACAAAATTGGAATAAATGTCTTTATGCACAAGCTAAGTTGTAACAGAAAATAAAAGAAGATATTATGAAAGATTTATAAAAAGTATTGATTAACTATTAGATTAATAATTGCAGAGGTAATATACATTCATTTTCTTTGTTGTTCCTCCTTTAAAGTTTTAAAGTTTTATTCATCAGTTGTGTCTGTGTGTCTGTATGCACACACACACACACACACACACACATGCAGATTAGAGCCTTACATGGAAAAAGAGATGCCAGGTGTTCAAGCTGGCTTTAGAAAAGGCCAAGAAATATGAGACATTATTCCTGATGTACGCTGGATAACTGAGAAAACCAAAGAATATCAAAAAGAAGTCACTCTGTGCTTCATTAATTATAGAAAGGCTTTTGATTGTGTCGATCATGTCAAGCTATGGAATGTGCTCAGAAAAATTCCAGAACCTCTCATTGTCCTCATGAAAAACAATATACAGATCAGAAGCCACAGTATGGACAGAATATGACAAACAGACTGGCTCTGGGTCAGCAAAGGACTGCAACAAGGGTATATACTCTCTTCTTATTTATTCAACCTATATGTTGAATATATACTAAAAGAAGCTTGATTGGAAGAAGATGAGTGTGGTTTTGACATTGGGGGAAGAAACGGCTAATGATACTACCCTATAGCCAAAAATGAAAAGGATCTGCAAGCACTAGTAATAAAAATCAAGGAGCACAGTGAAAAAAGGGGACTAAAATTAAATATAAAGAAGATCAAACTAATGACAACAGGTAGAACAACCAGCCTTAGAACTGGCAATGAAGATATTGAAGTGGTGGATAGTTTCTGCCTTTTAGGATCAACCATCAACAGTAAAGGAACAATTCTTTTCCTTTACAAGTCAAGAAATAAACCACAGACTAGCATTTGGTAGAGCAGCCATGAAGGCCTTGGAAAAAATATCCAAATGCTATGATGTGTGTATATGTACAAAGATCACAACAGTGCAAGCCATGGTATTCCCTGCGACAAACTATGGAAGTGAAAGTTGTACTCTGAAGAAGCAAGATAGAAAGTATTGACGCTTTCGGACTTTGGTGTTGGAGAAGACTCCTGAGAATACCATGGACAGCCAAGAAAACAAACCCATGGATCATCAAACAAATCTACCCAGAGTTCTCCCTTAAGGCACAAATGACCAGGCTCAAATTATCCTATACATTATATGAAGACCTAGCTCTCTGGAGAAAGCTCTAATACTGGGAAAGGTGGAAGGAAAAAGAAGAGGATAACCAGCAGTAAAGTAGATGAACTCAGTTAAAGTGGTAATGAGTGTACGTTGAAAGACCAGGTTAGGGACAGACTGTCATAGAGAAAATCTGTGGTCGCTAAGAATTAAAAACAACTTGATGGCACATAATCAATTTTAAAAAATCAATATATAGTTGACTTAGTTATTATTTATCTATATACACACGCACATTCAAGTTCTCTTTTTGAATATGTAAATAATCCACTGGGGGAAGTCCAGGTGGCTAGACTAAATGGCTTAAATAACCCCTTCTACTGCTGTGATTCTATTAAAAAGCTTGTCTTCCTATTTTAACAAATTAAAATTAAAGAATAATAAAAGCTCATGACAGTAAAATTATCAAGAGTCTGTAACATGAGAGAAGTTTAAAAGGGACTTGGTATGAGACTTAAAAAGTGATACTGGGTAAAGATATAGCTAAAGATTTAAAGTAAAATATCTTTTTTCTTATCTGCAAATTAATCCTTGGAGCTATTTAATAAAGTGCTACTGTAGCTAGCCTGCAAAATCCGAATGACCATTAGATGGCAGCAAAAGAAATACAGAAAACTCTGGTTTGGATTTTTGCAGCTCAGACAAGTGGTCCAATGAATACAGGCTTGATGAAAAGTAATAGTACTGCTGCTTTCTCTTGTTACTCGTCTAGTTATTTTACAGTAAGCTAGACAATCTGATTCCCACTCAACGTATGAACATTTATTCTAGTTTTTCTTTTTTGACTGTACTTGCTTTGAAGATTGGATTACTGGCTGCTTTTAGAGGTAAACTTACCAGTATTCTGATTTCTTTTTTTTTTTTAAATTAAGCAATCCATTCATATGGATGAACTTTAATTATTCAAATAATATGTATTGAAAATCAATTAATTACCATGCACAGATTCAAAATATAAACTGTGTTTTCTTTTCTGAGCCTTGCAGTTTAAAGAAGCTGCAGAAATATAGACCTAACTGACTTTGTTGCAATTTCTAGATTGGTTTGGGACTTTTTTTTTTTGGTAGGAGTTGCGGACATGGGAAGAAGAGTTAAAACAAGCAGCCGTTCAACAGAAGAACCATGAGGAACTACTACGGCAACGAGAGCAGGAGTTGGCAGAGCGAGAAATCGATATTTTGGAAAGAGAACTCAACATAATCATCCACCAACTGTGCCAGGAAAAGCCCCGGGTGAGAAAACGCATGGGCAAGTTCAAGAAAAATCGGCTGAAGTTGAAAGATGGCAATCACATCAGTCTTCCTTCTGGTGCGTTTAGCAAATCAAAATGAAGTAACTATTGCTTCCTTCCAGACTTATTTTTTTATTCTTGAAAATACATTGTATGTGTGAATAATTATCTTATTAAAATTAAAACACTCTTCAAGTCAAGCTTGACTTCTGGAGACTTTGTAGGCCCAGCCATATTGTTTTCTCGGCAACAGTGTGAGAGTGGCAAGCCTTCTTCAGACTTCTTGGTCAAGCCTATAGCCCTAATATTCTTTGGTGGGCTCCCATCGAAGTACTAGCAAGATCCAAATCTATTTAGTTTTTAGGGATCAGCCAAGATCAGCTAGGTACTGCCAGCTGCTGTGTTATTTTTTTTTTAAAGAAAATCAGAACATAAAGAAATCTTCTGTAATTTGGCAGGTTTCTAACTAAGGAACAGACCTTGATCACTAGGCAATAGGTAAGAATAAGAAACCCTTTTCATACCTTTCCAAATTTATAAAAAACTCAGTATCAATCTGAAATTGGAATAGGTTTGATCCACATAGAAGAGGCAACTGTGTCTACAAATACCTCAAACCAAAAATGTTATGGAGTGTACCATTTTTTAAAAAGTCTGTATTGAAAGGTTCCCATTACCTAGGCTTCATTTCCACAAAAGGATCTGCTTTGCCCAAAATAAAATCACGTTCTGTCAAAATTTTAAAATGTTATTGACTTTTGTGACTTTTCAGTGGTAATCGGTGGGACACAGAAAAAAATCTGTTTACTTAATCTCTGTACTTACTTCTGACTTTAGCCAAAATTAAAATAGGCTGCATCTGATCTGGTCCAAGTCCAATGGAGCTATTTTCCAGACTGCTGAATTGAGCTGGAACAAAATCTTTAATGTTGAACTTCCCTAATAAGCGTTTGTGGTATGGGGACTTGTACAAAATTAGCAACATTTTTCTACCAAAGTGGTGCTTCTCCTTCCTCTCTAACAAATTGGCTTATTGAAGCTACAGCATGAGATGAATTTTAATACATCATTCATCCCTGTATCTTTTAGAAAAACCATTACTTTACTGTTTCATTAACAACTCATCTGAGTGTGTAACATGTGTTACACAATGTTTGATAGAGAAGAGGACAAGGCTCTAACATATTTTAATAATTGAAAAAAATATAATTTTAATGTTTTTATCCTGAGATAGACAGACAGACAGACTCCAACTATTAAAGGTACAGGAGCTCAGTTGTTTTGCTTTATCTTGACTTTTTAGAGTACCCTACTATAGACAACTTATAGATATGATAAGCTAATAATAAGGAGCAAATCTCTAATCTTCGTAGAGTAAATACTTAAACAGGGGCTTTAAGATGAAAACAGACACCTATAGTTTTTTTTTCAAAAAATTCGATTCATTTATATAACAGGCCATTGATACCATAAGCCTGCATTTAACCTTAGATGCAGCCTTTTCAGTGAAAAAGTCCATTAATTAAAAGTACATAGTGTCTTATTAAATTATTGGCAATGTTGCAGAATTAATACTAAATTCTCAACCGAAATTATACTAGTGCATTAGCAGACTGTATATATGAATGACACAGTACTACACTGTATATCTTTTCAATGTTGGCATTACTTCACTAATGACTGTATTTCATACATTTGCTTCCATAACAGATTTCCAGCACAAATTCACCGTGCAGGCATCTCCAACCATGGATAAAAGAAAAAACTTGATCAACAACTGTGCCAGTCCTCCTGCCAGCCCTACTATCATTCCTAGGCTCAGAGCCATCCAGCGTAAGAAATTTTAACTGCAATTTATAAAAGATGTCAAGTGCTAATATGAAGTAGTCAGTTCCTGTTTTAAATAAAGACATCATGTTGCTTTCTATATTGAGGACTTTTGTTTATGGCTAATCTTGATGGCACTGTTGTTGTTCATTATAATTTGTTTTTAACGACTGATTGCTTGCTTCCATCTTTCTGCCATTTTATCCCTAACACTATGGGCCTAAAAAATAGATATGCATAGCTGTCACTTGTTTTCTTACAGGACACAGTACCTAAGTTAACTGTAAGAGCTGGTACAGAGCTGTCTAACTTTTGGCAGGACAGAAACAGTTATTTTAATCTGTTTATTTAAAAATGTATATATACATACATACATGCATACATACCATCTGTCATGTATAACCAATGCAGATGGTGTACAATAGTATAACTACAACATAAATATATATTGTAAAGTAAAATAATTATATAATGTAAATGGTGAAAATGAGAACTGTCGTCATGAATCTCTAAACACTGGAATCTAAACAAATACAATATTTATTAATATGAGTTAGAGTTGGAACATTTTATTTTTGGGATGAGAACATTTCAGAGTTCTTTCTGGCTGATGCCAAATGAATATTCAAAGATTGTAACATAACCAGGAATGCCTAGGGCAATCATTATGGTGGCCAAGCCAATCAGTATGTAAAAAATTATTCTATTTTGTGTTTTAGTCCTAGGTTGTATAAAGCTTTATCAGTTTGCTGACTAAAAGCAAATTGGTAATCTATGCAGTTTTTTCAACAGCAGTATGATTTGGCAATGGCTAAACACAGCACACAGTAACTTTGCTGCTGTATTTTGCACTAGTTTTTACTTTCAGACCAAAAAGACCACCCAAAGTCACTGGGAGTCAGGCAGCATATAAATTTAAATTGTTGTTATTGTTATTTGGAGCAGTCTGACATTATAATAATGAAGTGTGAGTTTGCCAGCGTGAAGATCACTGAAACTACATTACCCCTATCCAAGAACAGCCACAAGTAGTCTGTCAGACAAAGGAGTTAATCATGCTCCCTAATAGCAGCTTCCTAACTTCTAGTAACAGTAATGATATTATGAGCATTCTCAAGCTGCATATCCCATCAGAACAAGTAGGCTACATGTTTCTCAAACTATGAAGCACCTATCTATAACGCTTATATTTTATCTAAAATACAGTCTCTGGTTCTTATTCTGTCTGTCACTATATTGTCCAACATTGGTCTATGATTTTCACAACCTCTCTTAATGCAGATATAACAAAAATGTGTTTTGCTTTTTAAAAAAAGTTTTTTCCCCATTCCAGGGTATCAGTTTCAAATAAAAGAATGATTAATTGTCACAAGTGTGGAATAATATTTCAGAAGTGAAGAGGGTGTCTTATTTAGGTTTTGTTTTCTTCAAGCTGGTGCAGATGTATGTAAAGTTGTCTGGCCTTTAATCAAGAATAGAGATCATGATGCAATTCTCTTGAAGAAATAAAGCAGTTATCATCCTTGGCTGTAGTTGGCCACGTTTACAGCATTTTTCTTTAAAAAAAAGAGCAAACCGAGGCTTTAACTGGAAGAGAATTTGAAGCTTCACCCCTATTCCATTTGCAAAGCACAATACGTATATTTGGGTATCTATCCTCTATTAGTTCTTTCTCTCAACTTCCTGCAGCAATCTTTTGCTAATTCCTTGTGTTATTTGATACTAAGTTTTATTTGCCTGAGAAATGTTCTCTCCTTCAATATACAGGTACATCTCTTTATAAAAAAAGAGAGAAAGAAAAAAAGAGATAGCAAATGGCTGCCTTCTCTGTGAAAAGTCTTTTCCTCAGCAAAGCTTAGTGAGAATATCTATGAAGAATTAAACTTCTGTGTTTCTAAATTTTCACAGAAGTCCTTCATCATAGTTTATAATATACAAAGTATTACCTACTGCAGTGTTTCTGCATGATGTTTGCTTTTTTCTTTCCCTAATCCTGCCTTTCACCTTTAGTAACCCCTGGTGAAAGCAGCAAAACATGGGGACGCAGCTCTGTATTCCAGAAAGATGAGGAAGGAGAAGAAGAAAAAAGAGGGCAGAAGAAAAAGGGTCGGACGTGGGGCCCAGGTTCACTTTGCAATAAGGAGCTAACATCAAGCGAGGATGGGTAAGAAACGCATCTGCTACTGTGTCATGAATGTTCAGTGTATGTGTGAATGTATGTTTGTGGGGGCATACAGTATGTATGTATAGAGAGAGCCAGTTTGGTGTAGCGGTTAAGGCATCAGGCTAGGAACAGGAGACTGTGAGTTCTAGTCCTATCTTGGGCACGAAGCCAGCTGGGTGACCTTGGCCAGTCATTCTCTCTCAGCCCTGAGAAGGAGGCAAGGGCAAGCCGCTTCTGAAAATCTTGCCAAGAAAACTGCAAGGACTAGTTCAGGCAGTCGCCAGGAGTTAACACTGACTTGAAGGCACACACGTATATGTATATGTATATGTATATGTATATGTATATGTATATGTATATGTATATGTATATGTATATGTATATGTAT